ACTGTTTTTATCATCAAACTTTTTATCTTGGGTAGTTTCAAAATCATAAAAAATAAATAAAGCTAATTTATTGTTTGCATCAAATTTGTCTTTATTTATTTTGCTTGGTTGCATATAACATAAATGCCTGATGGGCTTATTTTGCTGACAAACATTACAATAACTTCCAAATATGTTTATCACATTTAGAACATTTCATAATTTTTTTACAAACATTGTTTCTAATGCTAAACCTTAAAATTACGTTGACAATCATTGCATTTTATTAAAGCACTATCGGTTTTACATGGAGGTTGTGAATGGCAGCACGGACAAATATAGGGACAACTCTTATATCTATCTTGTCTGGAATAGCGAATATGACATAAATCGCAGTAATACGAGGTAGAAAATCCTCCTGTTAAACTTAGTATGACATTATAATGATTATTTTCTAAGATTAAATTATTTTTTTTCTCTTCATGGGATTTCGGTCCCTCAAAATACATCGAACAACCGTCCCGGCTATTATAAACTACTATGACATAGTCACTAAAAAAAATTGAAATTTTTGAATATGTGTATAATTACCACCGTTAGGGTCTAAATCAACATCTAAATCTAAAAGGATTTTACCTTTTAAACCCGAGATTTTATTTAAACAGTTTTTGTTTAAATTGTTATCACAGTACTCTTTACCAACAACTAAAGCGTACCCTAAACACCGATTATTTATATTTTCAATTACATATATACTATTTTTTGCACACCAAATTCTGTGAAACATACACATTTTCCATCCAATGCTGAAATTTCACGGCCAGTCGGTAAACGCACTCTGTCTACACGAATTTCCAAGTTGTCGTTGGAGAAAAACGTGCTGTTGCTTTGAAGTACTGCGCTCCTATGACGTTTAAGATTTCGTTAGCTGATATTTCAGAGAATTTTCTAAATGATATTTCCACTGGTTTTTGTGGAAAGCTTTCATTGTTCATCGTTATATCGACAATATCTTCAGGTTGAAAATTATTCCCAAGGTAATTTAGTACTTCTTCTATTGTTTTCTATAAAAAAAAACTATTAATTTTATACGAAAAAATAAACAAATAGAAAAAGTATTACCATCAACCACTGCAGAGGGTTTGAGAAATATTCTTCAGTTAATTCCTTTAGAGTAAATGTCACATTTCGACTTTCAGTTGAATTTTTTAATAAATCTCTTCGTGAAACCTCCAACTAAAATATGCTTATATGAGTCACTGGTGATAGATTTTTGCCTACTTTGATCTAAATAAAAAAAATTAAAAAATGGTTATTATAACTTACAGAACGAAGTTCTAAAGTATATTACCTTTACTTAAATTTATTGTGTCAAGGTTTCCATAACCTGTCTGGTGTTGAACAACGGTTTTCTTGTGAGTACCTAATAATGTAAAAATTGTATTGTGAAAAAAAAAACAAAAAGGGAAACTTACAGATTGGTGTAGATGACATTACCAGCTTCATTCCATCCTTGTCCACTCTGTGTTATGATGTTTAACAACGCACTTGCTTTAACTGGTAATGTTCTTGGCATGGAACCCAAAATGTTTTGACTAAATTGTTCAGATTGTTTTATTTGATTATGTTCCTTTTTAGGATACAGTATTGGTATAGTAACGGGTTCCCGCTAACGACTTGTAATTTTTAGATATTTTTGAAGCACTTGATTATACAAAGTCCATTTTTTATTATTATCAAAGTTTTTCATGTCTATGATTCTTTTCATTTGGTAATCTAAATCATTAAGAGTGTTTGTTTGAGTGCTTTTGTTATTATGTAAACGTTCTAGCTCGTATGAATCAATAAGTACCATTTTTTTCCATTATTATTTACTTCTACTAAATAAATGACCAAGCACCCTTGAAATTATTGGAGCTAACAAAAGCGGTAAAAAAGCACCTGCTTTTTGTATAATTAATTTTTTCTTCCGCTGAACAGATACTCGTAATTTACGATTGACTAAATCTCTCAGTATTTTCTTATGTTTCTCTAATTTACTCTTTTGTGAACTGTTTAAAGGAATTTTCCCTAGTAATGTGTTGTGGGCACACTCACATATATAATGTACCAAGTTTTTATCAGTAGAATTAAGAATTGATTTACGATATCCTGTTATTGTTCTATGCAAAAAAAATAATTTAATCGTAACTCGACGTTTCTTTCTAACGTCCGTGACATCTCATATACAACTGACAAATAAATTACTTACTTTTTTAGGGATGTAGGTATAAGAGGGTTCTTCATAAATCGTTTGGAGTATTTTGTTTTAAATCAATCAACAAATAACCGTGAGGTCTCATGGTGGCATCTTTGTAAGATTCTTGCACAAACTTTACATTTTCTGGAAAAGTCTGTCTAGCCAAGAAATTAATTTGAGCTTTATCACGAGAATTTTTAAAATAAACAATATAATTTGGATTCAAAGAAATATCTCTCTGACCTTTCCCTTGGTGAAACAAATTTTGCGTAATGTAGAAAACACTGAGGTTTCGATGATGGCTACCTCTAGTAAAAATATCCACCCCACTACTACTCGCCTCTCTTATCAGATTATCCAAAATTATCAATGTCGATTTTACACCATCAAACTCATTCATATCAGGAACACCCTGACGAAATTCAATTCTTTGTAGGTTGTGATTGATACAATTATTATTATTTTGATACAATGGCTGCCATTTATCATAAAACCAAAGCACTCGCTCAAACTCAGTATCACAGATCAAATTCAAGTGGATTAAAAATCGTATGACAAAGTGCGTTTTTCCACATGCAGTTGGACCAGCAACAATATCTGTAAATGGCGATTTGAATCGTAAGTCCATTCTTCTTGCTTTTATCCAAATATCTAGCTTCTTACGTTATTTAATAACAAAACAAAAATTATAATTTACAATGATGTACAAGATGTAACACCCCAATCTTGCACAGACAACGTACAGGGTGCCCAAGGCGGTACCACTAGAGTAAGAAAAAAGGTGCCGTATTACTCATTTTTAAGAAGAGCGTGGTTCCCCGAATCATATGACAAGGATGAAATAGAGAACGAAAGCGGAATTGAGGATGACCGGGATTAGTTTACATATGCATTAATAATAAAGTTATAAAAGTAAATATACATTTTTTATTTTGCCAACATTTTATTGTTTTCATTAAATTTATATCAACAAATCCTCGCATTTAATTGTAAAAAGTTTTATACACATCTTCATAATCAAACTTTAGAAAGTGCAGCGGTCGTCATTAGAAAACCAATTAAATTTTTTTTTAATCACTCGAAAGTACAGCGGGTAATTAAGAGGTCATTAACATGTCATTAAAGTAAAAGTACTGGTGATTAAGGGGTAATTAAAAAGTCATTAAAACACTACTAATTACACTCATTTACTACTGAGTTAGAATAATGAAGTTGTAAGTACAGATTTGCACGTATCAGTTGAAGCAAAAAATGTTTTTCCTTTGCAGTTTTGGCGTAAAATCAAAGATAAAAAATGTTTTTCTCTTGTATCTTATTCTGGGGACGTACTGTATAAAAATTTCGAAGTTAAGTCGCTTTTTGACTCTATTTATTTCTGTTGGAGAAATATTTTTTTCAATTTTTTTGCTACAGGCTATTAGAAGAAGAAACAAAGAAGCTGTATCCTAAATTGAAACTCTGTTTAATGTTATTTGTGGCTTTTATTGGCAAAATCTTAGTGCCTTTACTAAATAATTATAAAAAAATCTGGTGTGAACATCACACGACTTTCCTTATCCAACTTATTTGGAAACCATTCTTACGGTGTTGGAAATCCGAGTAGCAAACCTAACGTTTGCGTTAGTGCCACCTGCCGGATTACACACGAAATAGATCATAGTTGCCGCTGGTTCGAGTCTGGGGTGCAATTTTTTTAGTTCGGTGTCCATTATTATTTTATCACATTTTACTATTTAATAAGGTATATTTTATGATTCTAAATAATTTTTATATGGGGTAATTTTAGTCTGCCACCCCGTAATGACGCTCCTGCCAACCTGTATGAACAAATCCACAAAATCATAGGGTGTTTAATTAAAAAAAACATAAATTAGTATTGTAACTTTTTTTTGAAACACCTATACAGGGTGCCCCAGAACTCGCGCACCAGAGACAAATGCCATATAAGGTAAGATCCCAGAAACATGGAAAAAGTGTTAAAAAAAATTTATCTATAAAAATTTCGGAGTTATGAGGGTTTAAATTTTGCACTTTGACTCTATTTATTTCTGTAGGAAAAATAATTTTCCAAGTTTTTTTGCTACAGGCTATATCAGAAGCGGAAACAAGGAAGCTGTATCTTAAATTGAAACTCTGTTCAATGTTATTTATGGCTTTTATTGGCAAAATTTTTGTACCTTTACTAAACAATTGTAAAAAAACATATACAAGATCATCAGTATCATTAAATAGACTTACAAAAATGTCAAATGTCAAAAAATAAATGTCAAAATTTTTTGACAGATAGAGTTTTTTAAACATTTTTCTCCGTGTTCCTAGTATCTTACCTTACTTGAAAAATTTCTCTGGGGCGCGAGTTCTGGCGTACCCTGTATACTTGAAAATAATTTTAAGTGGGTACAGGGAGGTAATATTTATGCATTTTTCACACTTTTTGAATATTTTAACATGCAAAGGTCAATAATTGACTTTACCAACGCGTTGGGACAGCCTGCATAAAGTAAAAAAAAAATATAAATCAAGGTTAAACCTACATGTATAAATTTCCTCATTTAATAAGAACATAAGTTTTTTTTTAAGTTAAATCATTTTGTGTTTTTTTTCTTGGTAATATTATTGTTATTTATACATACTCGTACGTTTTTGTCCTCAAACAAATTCTTGAAGTAAAACTCATTTGGCCTTTAACATCTGTACCACTTATGTGTTTGTACTTAATTATTTTGCAAATACAAACATGTTAATGGCACCTATAAAACAAAAAAGTAAACAACGGAACAATTTGGTTTCATTTGCCTTGAATATCTATCTGCAAGCGTATCTAGCACGTTTTTCATGAATCCAAATATTTTCCAAGTAGACGAAAATGTACGTATAAATGCGTTAAAAGAATACGATAAGACGGAAGCAGCAGCTAACCAAGATGTAAAAACAATACAGATATGGATTAAAACTCAACGACATTTACCTGAGGTCATGGGTAAGTTTTAAGCATTTATTTATTCGTAGGTATTAAATGTGGAATAAAATTTTTACAGATGAGGCCCAGATTATAAATTTCTTATTTATGAATAAATTTAATATGGAAAAAACTAAACGCAAAATAGATACGTACTATACAGTGAGGACATTAATACCAGATTTTTTCGAACAAGCCAACCCAAACTCGCCGTTGATGCAAGAAGTTGTTGATGCTTTGTAGGTAAAACAAGTGAAAATTGTGTTTTTACAATTAGTTTTAAGATATTTTGGAGTATACCCTAAAGCCCTAAACGACAAACACAGAGTCTTTATAATAAAGGTAAAAGAATCAAATAAGTTTGGACCTCGTGAGTTGGTTATGCACTCTGCTAACGTAACAGAAATGCGTCTCTATGAAGACTGTTTTGCTAGTGGTGAAATTCTGATTTTCGATATGATCAATGTTTCATTAAGCGACTTAAAAAAACTTACTCCTACTCTCGTCGCAAAAATTCTTGTGATTTTCCAGGTAATTCAAATGATTGTTAAATTTTTTGTTTGTAACATAGTTTTAGAAAGTGTATTCGATTCGTTCGGAAGCCATTTATATCCTCAATAGTCCTTCGTATGTTTCTGTTGTAATATCAATTTTGAAATCGGTTTTAAAGCCTAAAATATTTGAACGGGTCTGTATAAAACTAAGTAATTACTAGTTTTAATTTGCTTTTTTAAGGTACAAGTTTGTGAAAACACTGAAATTTTGAAAACAATTTTTTCCAAGGATGATATACCCAAGGATTATGGAGGTGAAGGACCAACACTGGAGGAATTACATGGTAGTAAAGTTGAGGTTTTGGAATTTGACGTTTTAAGATTTCGTGATTTAAGAAATGGTGAAGGTGAAACTTTCTTTTTATCAAGATCGATTTAACGAACTGGATAATTTAAGAGTGGATGAAAGTTTAAGAGCCGATAAACTTAACACAGAAGAGATTTTAGGAATCTATGGCAAGTTTAAGAAACTTCACTTTGACTGAAAATTAGAGAAATTAATAAGAAACGTACGCATAAATCAAGCATCTTCGAAAGTAACTGAATGTTTATGTGTTAATTTATTTTTCAGAGAACTCATCGTTATTATTCTCTCACCATGGATATTTTCTTCCGATAGTGTTTGATTTTCTTTAATATTTGTTTCTGAACTAATGTAGAATAATGTTTTTTTTAACAATAATTTATTGATTGCTTACCATCACTAAAATTAAAATTTTGCTGTGATAAAATGATCCTTTTTATGAACTCTTTCTTGTCTTTTTGCACAAAGCACTATTTCACAGCAACTTTCTAATTTAATATGATGATTAGAGTTACCAGAAATCGAAAAGTCGAAAATAGATAAATTCACTTCATAGAAGTTTCAAAAAATATACAGGGTGAGTTCTAACTTATATCTAACTTATAAGCCTAAAGTTAAGGAATGAAAGGTTATTAACAAGAATAAGTAAAATAAATTAAGTTATTTGGATTAAAAATTATGCTTATAAGTTAATAAATGAAAATGACAAATTGGCATTAATACTCATCCTGTATAGAAGATTCAAATAAATCATGTTATTAATTACATTAAATATAATTACTAATGTATTGAACGTTAATATAAATTAAACATATTTAGATAAATGAAAATATAAACTAAAATAAAAACGATTAAACATTATTTTAAATCTCAACAAACATAAAACATAACAAAAAAACATAAAATATCGTTTTAAAACGAATATTGCAACTCTGTCCACTTCCTTTACTTCTACACTAAGAATATACACCTATATGTAATAAGTAAAATAATAGCATCCAGAAGTCCAGAAGTCTGATTTTTTTGGAAATAAATTGATAAATGTTTAAAGATTGTAAAGAAGTGATGCCAAAATATTTTTTATTTTAATTAATTATACACTAGCATTGATTCATCTGGAATTGTGATGTCATTTATTTCGTATTGTGAATTAAATTTAACCTCTGATTAAAATTTGATTACCTCTAAAGATTGATTAACTGATTAACCATTGAATTTGTAAACTTATTGTTTAGAAATTAAATTCTTTTATTGCTACCATGCCACGACCGATGTGCGTTTAATGATTTTACCTGTTTTGGTATTTTATTTTAATGAATATTAATAATTAGTTATTTATTATACAAGACGATAAAGAAATTGTTTATCTACGATCGAAAAGGTTAAGTTTACAAGTGACGAAGTCACGAGTGGACTTTTTTTACAAGTAGAAAAACAATCTTTATCGTCGTGTATAATATTTTGTTTTATTTTGTACTCACCTACCAGAATTTTTTAAATTACTTTATTTCACTAGGCGATAAAAGACTGCTTTATCTACTGAAATTAGTTGATAAAAGCACTCTTTAACATTGAGTACAAAATAAAAAAAATATTCAAATTTACAAAAAAAAATGTATCTATACAAAATTTATACAGGGTGAATATAAAGTATGGAACCAATCGGTTTTATTTTCAATCATTTGCCTCCAGAAAATAATAATTAACATAAATTAAAGTAATATAAAAAATGTGATCGAATTTTCAGAACGAAATTTTGTTTTGTTTTT